AGTGGCTGTGTGTGTGAAGTGGGTTGTGGCTGAAAGTTACAACTATTAAAAATTTGTAGCGAAAAGTAATGCACAGATCTGAAAATATAACAACCCCAGAAGTTACCAAATTCGTGAATCTTTCCTGCTCTCGAATTTTGAGGATTTTCTTGTCAAAAGTGGCAACATAATTATGATTGCTCCCTCCAAGTTTTTGTTAGCCGCGCTGCTCCCTTTGCTTCACTCATTCTCGTTGTAGCGTTTTGCTACCCGGGCACTTGGAGTTGCCCCCTCCCCCCCGCCCCCCACACTCAACTGCTATTCACCCAGAAGCAATTGCCTGTTCCATAGCCGACAAAGTTTTATCAGCCACGTGCACTCTTCCCATCCGGGTCCCTGCTTCCACACTGAGTGACTTCCCAAGCTGCCTTAGAACCCTCCCCTCACCCCTTCCCGAAAGAAGTTCTTGCTGAAAGTGCTTTTATCTCTTTCCGAAATTGAAATAGCGAGAAAATTCGAATTAACATCCTTAAAAAAATATAGCCAGCATCCAAACCAAATCCAGAGTTCTTCAAATTTAAACACTCCCTCTTACTTTTCACAAAGTAGTCTTTTTGGAAGCGTCACAATTCCTCACTTCAAAAAATTTTATGACGAATCTCTCGATCACGTTTCATAAGGGCTTTTGAACTGTAGCATCCTTGCAATCCTTCATTCATAAGTGCTCCGAAATCCATCAATTTTCAGGTTATCTTGTTGTTAGGAAGCTACTGATTCAAATTCTTGAGAGGACCTACTCGAAGGTGTTATCTTTAGCTGCTCACCTAAAATCTCCGCTCTTATACAATTCTGAGGTTATTACATTTGTAGAGCATATGACGCCTAAAAAGTTGTGATTCTAGCTAGATTGTTTAGAGCTTCTTCATTAGCAGAAATTTTTGAGCAGAAAATTTTTTATACATCAATTGTAGGAAAAATACAAAGTCAGTACAAAAACATGTAAGATTTTTGAAGAGCGCGAATTTTTTCAACCATCTGAGGCTCGCCATGATATGATAGTCTAAAATGCACTTTTGAAGCGTTTCGAGTAGAATGAATGATGTTTGTAAATACCTTTTTAATGGCATGTTACAGTTTCACAGATGCTAAACATCTGATTTTTTGTATGAATCACTGATCTCTTGCACAGAGTCAACAATGTTTTCTAGGGAAATTCAGGTCGCGCTGTCCAAAGTGTTGCACGATGAAAACTGTGCCCAAGTTACTGCTAAAAACACAGAATAAAGTTGCTTTCGAGAGTAAAACAGCATCGACATTTGTGAGAGGTAAAGCACTTCAAGTTCGAAAGACTGCAATGTTCTGTTGATCTACCTGACAATTTTTTTGAATGACACAGACATTTCAAACGAAGTGCTCATTCAAAATAAATCATAGGTACAGAATGTTCGAGGAAAGTAGAAGTATCTGCGAGAAATTTCCAGAAACAGATCTAGTGCAGTTTGTCTGAGGTAAAAACATTTGCTAAGTATTTCATGAAAGAATCCGAAAAATTCAAACCTTCCTGCTGAGATATGTTAATAGAAAAATTACATAGAAGGCAGGATAAATCCATCGGAAAAGATTTGGTGCAACTGTTTTGGGGTGAGGAAACACATCACGCACTCGAGAAATGAATACGGGGGGCCGTACTATATTGCTGAAATATTTGACATTTTGAAAACTTATGGTGCACTCCAATTTAAACGCTCCAGAGTAGAAATGGAGAATCTTGAGATTTCAAAAAACAAAATAAATCTTTTAACAACGATTTCAGCTGCACTTGTTGGAACAGAAGAATGGTATAATTATATGTTAGAGGTCTTGAAAGAGGCCGTGCTCAAATCAAAGGATTGAAAACATTTTTGCTAAAAACGGATTCGATGCAGTTTTCTGTGCGAGCTTATTAATTTCAAACAAACTGATTACTCTTGAATCATTCCAGTAGGGTGCTTCTTCCAAGTTTATTGAGGAACGAAAGAATTTGCAATTTTTGTAGTAATGTTGAAGGAATACGGATAAGAAAAATTGTAAACTACCCGTTCCAATTCAATCGAATTCGGGTCGCTCTTGTAAAACGACTCGAACTATACGAAAGGGTTAGCTTCTAGTAATTGTAATTTTTTGGTTATGCCAATTGATCAACATTATCTAAGACAGGCATCACTGCCGCTATGAGTCATCAGCTCGGTACGCTCGCACCGGCACAGAACGATTGACGGATGTTTACATCTCTGGCGCGCGCGATGACGTCAGATGGGGGTGCTTGCGCATTATATATAGTATGATGGTAGTCATAAAACCTACTGATTCTTTTTGGTAAAAATGAGGTGAAAAGCGCTCTCATAAACTCTGCGTAATCGCTGATATTGGCTGACAGACTCCAACCTCACCATAAGGTTGTCACGCTTTTACTCCACAAAACTCTGTTTGCAATGTTCATAAAGCGCTGGATTTGATTTATCACATTGCCTACATGGTGATGCAGCTTTTGCAACAACTTCTGATTTTCCCTAGTGATGCAGTTGCGATTTAGAATTGAAAAACTTTTCACGAAAATTCTATGCGAGCAGCAGATTCGATATCACCCTAGATTTCCTTATTCCCTTTGTGTTTCATGTCATATTTCACCCGATGAATGAGATTAGCTAAGATTTTGAAGTTTTAGACTGTTTAGACTGACCTGTTTCATCTCGTGATCTGATTGTGAGTTGGCTTCGCTTGTGCAGGGTGCTCCACTCAACATTCAGTGAATGACTGCGGCTGAACCAAAGCGCTCAACCCCGAAATTTTTTCCTAGCCATGCCTGTTGTATGTCTGTCATAATGGCTACATTACAGTATTTTCTGCTGCTTGAAAATCGAGTTTTATGGTGCAAAAGTGCGTCAACCCTATGGTGAGGTTGGAATTTGTCCGTCAATATCAGCGACTATGCAGAGTTTATGAGAGCGCTCTTCACCATTTACCAAAAAGGATCAGTAGTTTACGACTACCATTTGAAATAAACAAGAGCTTGAAAACTCCTTAAACCAGTTGTTTGTTGAAACATGTTTTTTGAAAGGCAAAAATGCAGTGATCCCTTCTATTTGAGCAGATGACAGACCGTAGTTGTTGCAAATGCTTCATATTTTAGAATGTAACTGTACAAAAAGATTTGAGAGTCAGTGTATACGATAGTGATTAGGAAAACCAGGTGGCTTTATAATTTTGTCCACCTTTCATTAAAGGCTTTTTCGAATTTCTTCGTTCTCCGTTCAAACTCAAAAGACTGGAAGCCGTTTTGAGGGGTCATGGAAGGTTGACATGCTCACAATACAGCAAAGTTTCAGACAGATTCATTGACAAGAACAAAAATTACGACGATTTTTAGAGTGGCTTTATAATTATGGCCAGTACTTTTGGCTAGGAGAGGCGGCAAAAATATTATCTTTTCAATAACCTTTATTTCCTAATCTTCACAGGAGTAGTTTGGACTTGATTCGTATATTCTATACGGCGTTATTGTTGCTGAAGCACAACCACTGAAAGCGACGACAAATGGTACAAATGGTACAATGGTTCCACGCTTCTCGCACGTTAAAGGCACCGTTCACCCAAAATGGAGGTTGGCGAGATTATGATGGCATATTAGTGTGGGCCCCCACACTAGGCAAACCCCCAAGCTTCGCCGCAAAAGACTGCATCTGGGGCGAGAAATCCGCTCCGGGAGTAGCAAAGTAGGTGGGGCGACTTGCATGCTTTATCTCGCCTGCACTTGTTGCAGAGGGTTCTCAAAACAGGGATTTTTGGTGGTTTCGCGGATTTTCGACTTCATATTCGGAATCAGAGCTTTCAGAAGACCTGAAGGCGACAAAAAACATTAAATTCGAGATTTTGGGTAAACGGCGCCTTTAAATTCTTAGTGTTTTCTCAAAGCTTTTTAGAGAACGCTAAGCTGCGAAGTGTTAATCCTCGGTCTACCTCGCGCGGTTGCGAAAAATGTTGTCGAATATGTTACAAATCCACAGCCGGCGAATCTCAAAGCACAGCCGCGTAGTTTTCATGATTAGTACAAGCGTATCAACTATGAAAACTACATATGTCTTGCTTATCGAGTGTGCGCTTGTAGAAAATATGAGCCATCGTAACAATGCCGAATCGCGCGGCGACCTAAATCGCGCGAGGTATGACCGAGGATTTATTGTTACGTTGTTCCTTGGTATCGTAGCGATGTTCTTAACCAGAATTCACGAATTTCCTGTTCTTAGTATTTTCTGAAAGTGGTCCTAGAATGCAAAAAAACGCTTTTGATTTCTAGATCGGAAATTCACTAAAACACACCTCTGCGTTGTTCATTAACAAAAAATGGAAAAGAAATTCCGACTGCATCGCTTTTCAGGCTTTTCCGGAATAAAAGAAGTAAAAGGGCTCATCAACATAGAACGAGGGTCAGCAACAAAAACCGTAGTTCTATTAAAAAATCACGGGGATGCGGACTCATTCGAATTGAGCTCGGCTCGAACGGCTCGAATCTCGCGTAGCCTCCTTGCTTGGGCTCTGCCCTTCTTTTGCAAAAGTGCTCTCTGCACATTTTCCCACACGAGCATAGGAAAGGCCAAGCCTCAATCGATAATTAAGCACGGGAAAGTGGTCAGAGAAAATGTTCGCGAGAAAGGTGCGGCATTCAAGCTAATCGGTCGCGCGAGATTCGAGCCACTAAATCGGGCTCGCTCCAAAGACAGAGGATGCAATGCCTTCGCCTCCATCGTTTTACAGCTGCTACATGAGGAGAGAACAAAAAAATGCCCATGGCTCAAGCGGTTGGGTTGTGCAGGTTTGCCAATCAAAAAGACATAAGCAAAGGCTTTGAGTAATGAAAAGGGAACTGTGGCATTTTATACCAACTAAAATTTGAGAACCTCTGGTAAAGCTATAGTGTTCCAGCTCTTTCATCTATAAGTCAATGAAATTTTTATAACAGCAAAAATTTTCAAAATTTTTTGCAGGCATTCAGAGGGCGGAGCGACCACGACTCCGTCAGTCGCTGAGAAAGAAACATGGATCGATCGAATGCACAACAGGTAAAAGGCTTACCATCTCTCATACACAGAACTGATTCGAACGAGTGAGAGGAATGCATCTGAGAAGAAGAATTGAAAAGAGGGAAACTGACAGACTTGTGAGAGGTTAACGCTTTTGGAACTATAATGGCTTCATAAGCAATTTGTAAGCTAACAATGTTTGCAATTGGTACAAGAAATCCAATTAATAAGCAATCAGTGCTGTGTGTTCGGCTCTGCTCATACAGGCTGCTTCATGACAAAGGCGCAATATCTTTGAGCGCGAACGCAGCTTTACTAAAAAGGTGAAGATACGCGCGCGTCGCGTCCGCGCCCGCTCGACTATTGCTGCTTCTACGCCTTCGTCATGCAGTAACCTTCACATCTTTTGTGGCAATGTTTTTAATCGATGTATCAAAAAAAATTCTGCTTCGTTATCACATATTTACGCAGACTAGTTTAGGCTGGCTTTCTGTGCACTCTGCGTTTTCGTTCTTCTCATCGTCGTCGGTTTGATTCTGCTCATTTCGAACATTCAGGAGTGACGCCCACGACGTAATTTGCAACCTTTATCAACTTCAAAGGTTTACGCGAGCTTCTCCGATTGCTTGATTCCATTTCTTTCTAAAAATCCTGCCAATGTTCATGGTCATGATTGATGTAAAATTTATCCCGAGATTCTTAGTTCCCCTAGATATTTGCATAGGGCTCTTCAAAAATTGTGATTTGTAGTTCTCATACTATCAAAACATCCGGGGCTTTACATCTCTGGAGACAAATTCAAAGCAAAGAAAGGAAGGGTGAGAATGCCGTTACTTTATTTCGTTCTTAATTAGTTGGTTTATACCAACAGGCAAGAATCGGAGAGATATTTAAAAAGTCTCTCAAGCATTTTAACGTCTGACTGAGCAGCTGTGGCAAATGATGCTGGGAATGCTGCCGCTGTCGATGAGATCCCATAACCTATCTGCTATATGCCAAGGCTAATCTTAGACGAAGGCAGATCCTCATGTAGTAAAAGTACGCGAGTCCGGAGTGGAGCGGCTGTTTGCCTTTACTGTGTGCATTTCGTGCGAGCAATGATAGATGTCAGCAAAAATTACGATATTCATATTATTTTTACTGTAAATCAAAGCATTCCTTCTAGATACACAAGAGGAAGTTGTTTACATCATGTCATGGTTTATGGAAACAGAACTTGGGTTAAGAAACTTGTCCTACTTTTGCTTGTTTTCAACTCTTATGACTATCAGCCACATTTTGTGTTTTGAAATTGTGCAGATCTTGTTTATGCGAATAAACAATTTTTCTATAGAAGGGAAGAGAAAAATTGCGACAACTACTAGTAGCTTTTGAAATAGCATTCCATGATCAGAGCAATACAGAGTGTAATCCATGATTTTATAAGATCAACCCGGAAAACCATTGAAATTGTGAAAAAATTAGAAGGATTTCGCAAGGCAGCTTTGGAGGTATTTTAACAAGAAAAGGATCCAAAATCGCAGTGGCCATCCGAGGTGAGAATGTTGAATCACGCATATAAGGATGGAATCTGAAACAGTATTTCATTTCTGCAATGCGACATTGGTCAATAAGTTATGAGGGAAATTTTCATTGAGGGGGGGGGGCTGGCGAATACGTTGTGTAGGTGTTTCTCCTATGTGTAGTCTTGGTATATGTAGTGCTGATCATTCTGCGGCTGAATCGTGAGGTTTTGTGTCCAAAATATCTATTATGGGACTTCTTTTACATTTGTATTACTATCATAGAGGGCTAGTTGTCACTATTCGACTTCCTGGACCCTAAAATTTGAAAATCTTGGATATCGCTCAAACTCGTCTATAGGATGGAATTTCTGAACGCTAATCACGAATATCATATTTCTAGGCTTACAATGGGTATACCTTTTCCAGACTATCATGGCAAGCATACGCCACCTCCACGGGATGCCACGCCCATCCCGATGACGCACTCGAAAACGCATGACCCGGTAAGCGCCCGAGCAATACTCGCTGATAGCTCTGCAGGCGCCCGATAAATCGATATGCACCGCGGGTGGCCCGATACGCGCCAGATTAAGCAGTGAAGTTTACATATTGTTTTTTTTTTGAATTTCAACAGATTTTTGACTACGTTTCTATTCTCTTCAGCCTGGCAAAAGGGCCGCGCTCTTCACAAAAATGCATTTGACGCCTACCAAAATTAGCAATTTAAGATCATGTACTCTAATAATGTGAGACACTATCGAGGAGCACAAACCGGACTTTACTAGTTTAGCTTGTGCTGCAAACGTTGAGGGTGCAGTGCGATTCTGTCGGGCCGTGATCTAAAAGGGCCGGGGCTGGCCCGGCAATAGTATGCATGGCGCCCATCAAGGCCCATGCTTTATCGAGATAAGATATGAACGGTGTCCGAGGGGCTTGACCAAAAACTAAACATGCACAGCGTCCAGTAAGGCTCAGCACAGGCCCAAGTGCTTCTTGGCCCGCGGGTTTTGATGAATCATTTTAGACTCGCGGCCTTTCCTCGCGATAACATTAAGCCGCCGTCAAGCATATAAATTTAAGGCAGCAGTGGTCAAAAGAATTCAAAGTTCCGCGCACTGTCAAAAAGCAGTGCTAGGAGTTGTGCAATATTTGTCTGAGTATAACGCCAAAATCACAAATTTGCTTAGAAAGTGTACGGTTTTGGCATGACGATTCCGAACTTGGAATTGGCTGTGGGCCTTGACACTTTTGTCGAGCTATTCCATCGCTAATGCACGAAGGAGAACTTCGATGAAGTTGCGGCAGTTGAAAATAAATTATCACCCTTATAATCAGGTGCTGAAGAACCCTTTACAGAGTTTTGCAAACTATGGCGCACATACAGTACATCAATCGTAACCCTGGGAAATAGCGCTATAATGCAAAATTGATATGATTTTCTCAGTTAGGCGTCTAATCCCAATGGATCCAAATTCAGCCAAATTATGCTTTAACCTTCTACAGTATACCCATCTTGATCACAAAAAACGAGCAATTTTTATGAAAATTCCCTATTAGGGCTCGGCACAGCTGGATTATAAACGAGCTGGATAACTTTTTGGGCAAGCGAATGCTCAGATAATCGCCGGGGGCAGGCGGCCATGCGATTTATGGGCGGGTGGGCACCGGAAAAATAGTTCGCTGATTTCTTGCGGTCCGCTTACAGATATCTGGAAGCCCGCTGGCAGAACATTAGACAGTGAAGGAAGTGCAGCTCGCTGAAGATTTGGCCACGCCCCAGAATTCTGCTGACCGCTTGCAGAAAAGTGCGAGTTTGCGGACCGCCTGTCCCCGGCGATTATCTGAATGGGATATCGTTTGTGGCCGAAAATTATACAGCTTAGGTTACGTTTTTTAGTCGATTTTTATAGGGTTTTTAAGTTTAGGTTTAGGGTCAAAGGGGACTTCGTAGAATAGTGAAAGTCAAGGAAGCTTCTTTTCTGCATTGTCGGAAACCACCTGCTCAGATAATCGCGGGGGGCAGGCGGCCATGCAAATTTTGAGCAAGCGGGCACCAGAAAAATAGTTCGTTGATTTCTTGCGGCCCGCTTGCAGAAATTTGGAGGAATATTGACCAGTTTCCAGACGAATGCTCGGAGAACTATCACGGTTTTCCTATAGATTAGTTGCGGCCCAGTGGCCGCATTCTCGCGGACTTTCCGCAAGAATATGCAGGATTGTTGGGGGCCGCACTGTCCTTTGTGGAGGACCGCGCAGCCCCCAGGTACTTTCCGCTGGGAGAAAGTACCTCAAATTGTGTAATTGAACCATCTATGATACCTCTGCAGCATAGAGTCCCACTTTTGCTCGGCGTATGCCCGAATTGCGTAAAAAGAGTCCGAGCGCCTGCTCGAAGTTCGGCCAGCGCTCGCTGAAAGAAATTACTTGCCGAGCGCTTGTAAAAAACGCTGTATTGCTGCCCGCTGGCAGAATATGCGACCGTAAAGGAAGTCCCGCCCGCTGAAGGTTTGGCCACGCCCCAAATTCTGCTGACCGCCTGCAGAAAAGCGCGAGTTTGCGGACCGCCTGCCCCCGGCGATTATTGAGTGGTGCCGAGCCCTGTTCCCCACTACTAAAGGATAAAAGGAGTTGTTTCGCGACGCACAGACAACGGTATGGCTACGAGTTTGATACGTATACGCAAGACAGAAAATTGGAAACAAGTGTGTACTTGTTTGAAAATCTTATCATGACTTATAATAACGGGCTAAGGGTGTTTGCGTGTTTTTGTGTGTGTGTCTGTCTCTCTGTAACGAAATTCACAGAACGAGTGGCAGACGAGGTTTCGAGCCGCAATTTTTTGCACAACACGCACTGCCACTATCCAGATTCACCACGCCAAAGCACGAGCAGATCCGTTGAATACCCTCAAAAGTCGCACCCCAGACGGATCCACTCAACGTCTGGCGCGCAATATTGGGTCGTATTACCACTTATTGCAATTTCGTGATTATGTTTGGCAAGTGAATTTGCAAGCCATGATCTTTAGCCCAAAAATAGTGATGGAAATCTATTACTCCACGAAAATGGCGCCAAAACGAATCATTTGCGTAAATGGTCAATTTGCCGGTTTTTACCTGAGCATTTGAAAAGATTTTTGCACAGAGATGTAGCTCACCGTGGATATTATCCTTATGGCGACCGCCAAGCCATGAAGTTAGGAAGTGTTTTAATTCTGTATTCGTTCTTCATCTTCCAAATATTCATCCACGCAAAATACCGATCTCACACGAAAAAGCTTTCGGAATGAGTAGTTGTTTACAATTCATTCGTGAAGGCGGGCATTGCGCGGTATGTTTCAGTGCTATGTTATGAAGGAAAGAGTATGCCGTATAGATAGAAGAGCCACCAGTGCGAGCCTCTGCGAAGCAGAGGTGACGCACTGGTTTAGATAAAAGCGTGTTCAACGTTTTTCTAAATTAAGAGTGGCTTCTTGCCACCTACTGCCACTCTGAGGGTGTGCCGACATTGACGGCACTTCCTAACAACCTTATCTTTACTGTTACCTTAGGTTATGGCATAAGCATGACCTGTGATAGTCTGTTATGTTTATACCGCCCTATTATCCTCAGCATTCTACCACTGCACTAATACGTGCACGTCATCCTTCATAAAGCTAATTAGCTAATGTGTTTTATATAACACTCCAACGGACGCTATTTCGCCTCAGGCTACTGTAAAGCCTACCAACCACCAAACTCTCTATGGTATACCTTTGGCTCAAACTCAAACTTCTCACTTTGCTAGAACACAAAATAGCAACAAGAGCAGCGAGTCGCCGTCATTTAAAGAGCGGTGCGCGATTTAGCGACCTGCCACTTGGTGTGGTTAGGGGGAAGTCGTAAGATTTGATAGTGGTGAAGGAAAATTCGTGCAAATAACCATTGGCCACTCTCGTGCTGGCCCTGGGTGGAGTGTTCTATTTCCTAGTGTGGCCACATTATGATGATGCTATCACGGATGCCTGTGATCCGGATTCAAACAAAGTCAGCTCTCCGGGCAGCTGCTTGTGTGACACCTAAACTATAAGTCCGAACATAAAGCAGCTTAAATAGTACATTAAGTACCCTGGCTCTGCAAAACACACTGAGTAACTCGATCACTTGCTTTCATCACTCCAAAAGATGGCTCTAAATTCGTCTAAAGAAATTTCTCTTTGTTTTAAAGACAGTGTTTAGGCAAATCTGGTCGCATGGCTCTTTCGCCTGGAAATTGATGAGGAACAGGAGCCTAACTAAGGCACTGTCCAAGGGGCAGCGCAGATTGTTCTATCATGGCTGAGAAATCCATCCCCGAAAACCCCGCTCCTGCGTCGTGACCGTAACCCAAAAAACGACTTCGTTCACTTTAACATTACGTTTGCGCTGGGAACAATGCTAAGTGTTACGGTCAGGACGCAGCAGCGAAGTGTTTGTGGATGGATTTCTCAGCTGTGAATGAATTATTTGCGCTGCGGTTTAAGCAGTTTAGCTAGAGCCTCCTCGACAGTTTTCAGGCAAAAAACCTATATGCCCAGATTTGCCTGGACACTGCCTTTGAAGGCGGTGTCCGAGCAAGATGGGGGTTTTGGGATTTCAGTGCCATGCAAGAATGGCCCCTCTCAGACACAACATCACGCAAGTGCGACGTCATAAGCTCGACCTGAAGCAGAAAAACGACCGGAAAGTGGGGAAACTTACGCCTTGGGGCGGGGTCGTCCGAGCTGTCCGACCTGCTGTGCGGCAGAGTAAGCAGCCGCCACAGTTAAAAC